GTGTTGGGGGGTGCCTTTTTTGGCGGGGAGGGGAGCGCCCCGCGGCGCGGCCTGTCGCCCCTGATGGTGCTTTCGTTACACTCGGTCTTTCGGCCGCTTGTCGCAATGTTGTGATACCGGCCGGCTTCAAAGCCCTCTCGCATCTGAGTTCCGGCGAGTTGGTCCGCTGGGCTTGCTGAGCTGGGCCTTCCACCGGCACAAAGCACGGAGCTGGTAGCGTGATGAGCACCAGGCCCCGTTTGCTTGTGTGGGGTCGCTGTTTAATCCCGTGTGTTAAACCAGCTATAAGAAATGCGGATCGGGCCATGCTGTCTAGGTGTTTATGTGTAGGAAGGGAACAGGAGGAAAGATACTGCTAAAAAAGACGTGTCCCAGAGAATATGCTGTATTTCTGCTGCATGCTCCTTAGCACGCCCCTTTCCTCCCCTTCCCCACTGTGTTTAGCAGAGCTCATTTGCTGCCTGTTTTAACTACGAGCATCTTCCCGGGTTGCTTTCAGGTTCCAGAACAGCGACGGGGAGGTCAAATACCTGCGCGATGCCGAAGAGCTGATCCGGCCCGAGCGGAACACGTTGCTCGTAAGCTTTGTGGACTTGGAGCAGTTCAATCAGCAGCTCTCTACCACTGTCCAGGAGGAATTTTACAGGTGAAGCATAGAGATTACCTGAGCGATGCGATGTCAGGCCCAGAAAGTCGTAGCAAACGTTCATCTGCTTTTGCTATGATGAAAAGTCTTTAATGTTTAAAACATGTTTTTTTTTATTGGATCAAAACATGTTTCCTGCTGGGCTTGTTGTTGTTATTTCTGCCTCTCTGAGAAGTTAACTGGGCAGTTGCATTTATTCTGGTAAGTAGGTGGTCAGGATAAAAGCAAAGTAAAAACCTTAGCAATTCTTAGTCTGAAAATATTTTATTGAACCACTAGCTGATTTTCAGGCTCTGAGTCTTAATATATGAGTAAAAGTGTCCTCAGACAGAAAGGCAAATGGTGATATTATGCAGTTGCCTCACATCTAACATATATTTAGATTAATTGTTGCGTTCTCACATAGTGTGGCCAGTATAAAACAGAACCTGCAAATGTATGATAAAAACCTTTCACACAGGCTAATGTCAGGAAGATATTTTGATAGTTTCTGTAAAGCTAAAACTTATTTTCTGTGTTTCAGGGTCTATCCTTATCTCTGCCGAGCAGTAAAGACTTTTGCCAAAGACCATGGAAATGTTCCTTCAAACAAGGACTTTTATGTTGCATTCCAAGATCTGCCTACTAGACACAAGTAAGATGATTATTAATTTCAAAAACTTTGGTGTTTGTTTCTATATACAAACCATACTGGGAAACCATACTGAAAATGTTTTGACTATGTAGCAAGAAATGTGTAATTTATCAGTACAGATGTGCAAATTGCCTAATCTTGTGTGGAATATTTTCTGAAACACTTTGAGTTGTGAATCAGACACTGGACTAGAAGGGCAGGGACCTCAGATAATTGTGTTCATCATATTTTGCAAACAAATATTGTAACCTTGTCTATTAAAACATAATTTAGGTACTTTTTGAAGTAAAACTGGACTAACTTTTAGATGAACAGTTAAGCACAAAACAATATAAAAGTTTGTGTAAAATCTGAAAAGGACAAAACATTACAATTGTTCTTTAATCACAGATTTAATGAAACTACCTACTATCTTAGTATTGGGCACGGCACTGGGCCAAAAAACACCTGCTCAGCTAAAAATTTTATGTCTTAAACAGAATTCGAGAATTGATATCAGCAAAGATTGGCTCCCTGATGCGCATCAGTGGACAGGTGGTGCGAACCCACCCAGTTCATCCCGAGCTTGTAAGTGGGACCTTCCTATGCCTAGACTGTCAGACAGTGATTAAAGATGTGGAACAGCAGTTTAAATACACGCAACCAAACATCTGCAGAAACCCAGTCTGTGGCAACAGAAGGAGATTCCTGCTGGACACAAACAAATCGAGATTTGTCGACTTCCAAAAGGTAGTGTGTGTGTGTGTGTGTGTGTGTCGGGGGGGTGACTTTTGTCACAAATTGTGACTTTTCTGTGCTAGCTGAAAGGTGCTGTTTGGGCTGCTACACATTGGCGATAGTTAATTTTGGTACTGTCAGCTTCAAGAAAAGGCTTCAGAAGAGGCATTAGAGTTCCTGCTAACAGCTTGCTTTCTGTCTGTGGAAGACTTATTTTTAAAGATTAGAAGTTAGGAATAGAATCAAAGCATTTTTTTTCGAATGACACTTATTTTTGAAGTAAGCCAGAGAAAGCTCACATATTTAAGTCATTGTCACTCTCCTCTGGCAGGTACATCATGTATAATTACTTTATATAAGTATGAAAAGAGGCATCTCTAGAATCTTTGGTGTTTCATTCTTTCACATCATTCTACTTTGCCAAATTCTCTGTGTGTTCCATCCTACAGTAACATTTTTGTATCTGTCACATTAATTGAACTGTTCAAGTGTCCAGAGTGGTTTTCCTAGTCCTCAGAATTGAGCTCTCCCGATCGTTCCCTTCAGTTTCTCCAAAACTGTCTAGATATTGATTAGTAAGGGGATGTTTTGTTTGTGGCCTTTTAAGAGGAATTTCATAAGATTGACATAGGTGGCAGCAAGCAAATGACATTTACTGTATTTGTTAACAGCTTCAATTTTTAAAGCGGTTTCAAAATTAGCGACTGCTGCTGAGTCCTTTCCTATTCTGTAAACCTCAGGTCCGCATCCAGGAGACACAGGCCGAGCTGCCGCGTGGGAGCATTCCTCGGAGCGTGGAAGTGATCTTGCGTGCAGAAGCTGTAGAGTCTGCTCAGGCTGGTGACAAATGTGACTTCACAGGGTCGCTGATTGTCGTGCCTGATGTGTCTCAACTCTCAACACCAGGTTTGTAGCTTCTACCACTGATTGCATCTTGGATGGGGTGTCCCCTCCTGCTCGTCTTGGGAACTGTTCTGCTGACTGTTGCTCTAATGGCAGGGGTGCGCGCAGAAACCGGCTCCCGTGTCAGCGGGACGGAGGGCTACGAAACCGAAGGAATCCGAGGACTTCGTGCCCTGGGAGTCAGAGAGCTGTCGTATAAACTAGTCTTCCTAGCTTGTTATGTTGCACCAACAAATCCACGGGTGAGTGTGGAAAGAAACTAGGTTTAAAAGTGTTGGTCCTTCCTGTTCTGTATAACTTCAGATTGAGGGGAGTTAAAATTTTAATTTTATATATGTACCATCTTACTCTGCATTTGACTCTAGTTTCTGATTGGGTTCACGTGACATACTTGGCAAATAACATGCCTGTGAAAACTGTTATGAACTGTAAAGAGAGTTTTATTGACTTAATTTAAAGAGATAAATGATTCACTTATTTCCATTCAGTCTTCGTCCATTTCTCCAACATTTATTCCAGGAATCCTAATGTTTCATTTTGTCATGGGGGGAGGCTAGAAGCTAACCTTCTTGTTCTCTCCATTTTATCATTTAAATCATGAATATTACTACACCATACTGAATAATACTGATTATGAGTTTTAGCCATGATGATATTATTAGCTGTTATGATACCCATCCTTCTGTTAGAAGCTTGCCCGTATAAGACAAAAACAGTGTTTGTTATTTCTTTGGTGTAGGAGTCTCCAGCCTTAGTATAGAGTAAAAAAGAGCCTTGAAGTTCTAGTTAATGAAGAATACTTATTAAGGCAAATCTTAGCGAGAGGAAGCCGTCCTGTTTTGAACTGGATGAGCATCTGGCACAGGATTTTCTTACTAGCTGAAGTTACTCCTTTGATATTTCCCACCACCGACAACACACCCTGGGACTTGTCTCTCTCTGTTGGTTTTTTAATTTCTAATTTTGATGTCTAAGTTAATGAGCTTCCTTAGTCTACAATCAGTCTTTCTGGATTTTTTCCTCCTACTCTGCTCACACAGCAAGTTCATATAACCTCTTTTTCTGTAGTGATCAGACTACTAATGTTGGTTTTACTTGTATATTTTCAATATCTCTTGTTTAGTTTGGTGGAAAAGAGCTCCGAGATGAAGAACAGACTGCAGAAAGCATTAAGAACCAAATGACCGTGAAAGAGTGGGAAAAGGTGTTTGAAATGAGCCAAGATAAAAACCTCTATCACAATCTGTGTACCAGCCTCTTCCCCACTATCCATGGTAAGAGTCCAGTTGTGGTATTAGAGTGGGGACATCTCACTTGATATGTGAAAATAATAACTCTTTGTGAAAATAACAAGTCTTTCTAATGTCTGTTTAGTGCCATTTTGTAGCCCTCTTCTGACTATCTCAAACTTATCTCCTCCATCATCGGTTTTGCTAGAAAAGGAGAATCTGTTTCCTGAGTATGTCCTGTGTTCAGTCATGAAGGTCTAAGTCAACGTGGTTGGTTTTGATATTGCATCACCTACAACTAAGCCCAACAACTGATAGTTGCCTGTAAACGTTGCTTTGTATGAACCTCCTTCTAAAAATTTAAGAGTTCCAAATACTTGCACACACTGCATGTGCATGTAAGCATTTGAAGTTGTGCTTCTGCCTCTCAAGTACATTGTATTTATTTTGGTTATATCTGAAAAGCCACCTGCTGAATTTTGTCCATATCCCAACCACCTGAGCATTGAAGAATTCAGCTGATATCTGAGTAGTTTTACCTTGAATCTGTATCAAGCACATGCAGTTTTTAGTGGATGTTTAGCAAATCAGTGGGCTCTGATTTGGTGCTTCCAGATACCCTAAAAATTCTACTGGGCTGAATTTTTATTTTAAATAGGAGAAACGAGGAGCTACGTTTTGGATTTTATTTGAGTATCTCTTCTGGGACAGGTAACGATGAAGTGAAGCGTGGGGTTCTGTTGATGCTTTTTGGAGGAGTTCCTAAGACCACTTCAGAAGGCACTTCATTGCGTGGGGACATCAATGTTTGTGTTGTTGGTGATCCAAGCACAGCCAAGAGCCAATTCCTGAAGTAAGCATCTCTTTAAAACTCAATATCTAAATATTTTTCCATGTGATTAGCAATTTAAGTGTTTACTGTGCTGCTTAAATGTATTTATTTATTTAACCTTAGCCAAGGGACAGTCAGGTAAAATATTTAAGAAAAAAATCTGGGAAATACTTGGATATGGTTGAATTACTTGGGTAAGGTTGAAACATATTTAACAAGTCCCTGTGGTAGCAACAGCAAACAGCAAGGAATGAATTAGTGCTGCACATGCTTTTTTGTTTGTTTGTTTTGTTTTCCCTGTTCATTTTTAATTTAGTGTATATCGAAAGGTTCCAAACACTTTGGACAAAGGCAGCTGTTGACCTTGAACAATAATTATTGACTACTCAGTCTCATGCTTTTTTACTTGAAATACTGTTTAAAATTATGCTTCATTCCTCATATACCACTTTCCAAGGCAGACTGGTTTGGGAACAGCTGGTCTGGAGAACCAATTTGATACACTAGCTGGCATAGGAAGCACAGGATTTCAGACCTCTATTCACTTATCTTTGCAACTCTCTGCTTGAGGCTGGGATATTTCAGCATACGCATCATGCATTAGGCTGTCGAGGCCAATCTGGCTGCTTCCTGCTGTGAAGCTACTTGTTCCTTTGTGCTGACACTCACCTGACCCGCAAGGAGCAGTGACAGCCTGTGAAGTCAGTAGAAACAGTGGAGGAGGTCTGAATTGCTTCTTTTTCTGCCACAGTAGCCAAAGGTGAATAACAGACCTGTGACAGTGTGCAATTAGGTAGTTACTGTTCGCAAACATCAATATTGATGGAAAGGCTTACGGCCCACCTAAATGTAAGTCTACCTACCTAAGTGTAAGTCCTTGCTTTTTGAAGGAAAGAATGAGTTTCTCTAGAGGTTGAAAGCAGTGCAGTGTTAAAGCTGTCTGGTTTCTGCAGGTTTTATCTATTTGTTTATTTAAAGTTGCCACAGCCTAGTTCTTCACTGCTTCTCTCTGTAGGCACGTGGAAGAGTTCAGTCCCCGTGCTGTGTACACCAGTGGAAAAGCCTCCAGTGCCGCCGGTCTGACGGCGGCTGTTGTAAAAGATGAAGAGTCTCATGAATTTGTTATCGAGGCTGGGGCACTGATGTTGGCAGATAATGTAAGTCCAGTAACTAGAGAATTCCTTCATCTGTGGAATGATTTTGTTCAGTGACAAAAATCTCCAAGTTGTCTTCAATATATTTATTTATTTATCCCAAAAGTGATTGAGTTTGGGTAACGTGTTATTTTTAATTCTGCTTTAGGGGGTTTGTTGCATTGATGAATTTGACAAAATGGACATGCGGGATCAAGTAGCCATCCATGAAGCGATGGAGCAGCAGACTATATCCATTACTAAAGCAGGAGTAAAGGTACCTTGTGCTGTTCGTCTGCTTGGCCAGTGTGCCTGATTCCCAAAGCGTTTGTTCCATTTACTCATCCAGGGTCAATCTCTATCATATTCCATTTCAACTTCGTAGTTGTCTCAGTGTAACAGCAAAGATACCACTTACCTGCTCAGTTTTTGTGCCAC